CCCCCCCCCATGAGTGCATAGGCGCGCATGTGTGCTTGTACGCCGGTCAGCGCGGACACATGCATGCCTGTGAGTGCACGCCTCTCCATTGAAGGAAATATAGACCATCTGACATCCCGCGCGAGAAAGATTTCGACTCCGGCAGGGGGAAAGCGATCAGTAAAGGACATGAGCAGGAGGGGGGGGGGGGGGGGGATTTTATACTTGGCAGGGGAGAAGAGCGGAGACCCTGCACTGGTTAAAGATCGGGATGTGTGACGGGTGGCCCGCCAGGGGCCGTTCCCCCGGCCAGCGAGGCACTCGGGACGATGGACTCCACCATGGCATTGAGGGTGTGCTCCACGTGGGTCTTCAGCACGACCACATCATTGACCGGGGCGATGACCTGCCGCAAGAGACGCTCGGATACCCGGCGCTGGACGGCTCGCTGGTGGTCCAGCTCCTGGCGCAAGTGGTCCAACTCGCGTCGGGCCGCGGCCAACACATCCCCCTCCTGGAAGAGGGCGTCCGGTGTCGCTGCGCCACCCCCCTCAGACTCTGCCCCCGGGGAGGTGGTTGAATCACCCAGACGAGCGACATCCACCGGCAGGCCAGCCTCCTGTAGCAGAAGCTCCAGCTCGCTGGTGAGGGCTTGGGTGCGAGCGCGCTGCGCGGCCAACTGGTCTTCGGATGCGGTGCTCGCTTGGCGGAGATCCGCCTCGAGGCGCGCGACCGCTTGTGATAGGGCGCGTTCCCGGCTTCGCAGCTGCTCCACCGTGTCATGCACGGCCGCCAGGTCGGCATTTCGTTCGGCGAAGGTGGCCTGCAGCCGATCGCCAGAGGCCTCCAGCTCGCCAGCCTGGCGGTGGAGATCGGCGATCGGTCCCACCGGCTCCCCGGTCCCGGCGGGGTCCTGGTCCGGCGAGAGGGATGCCCGCCGGGAACGCACAGTACCCGGGGCATCCCCGGCCGAAGAGGCGCAGACGTGTGCTCTTCCGATCTGCCAGGTCGGCATTTCGTTCGGCGAAGGTGGCCTGCAGCCGATCGCCAGAGGCCTCCAGCTCGCCAGCCTGGCGGTGGAGATCGGCGATCGGTCCCACCGGCTCCCCGGTCCCGGCGGGGTCCTGGTCCGGCGAGAGGGATGCCCGCCGGGAACGCACAGTACCCGGGGCATCCCCGGCCGAAGAGGCGCCGGCATCTCCATTCGAGGAGAAGGAGGCAGCCAGGCTGCCGGAGCCAGCCGCGGCCCGTCGCCCGGCATCCGGCCGCGGGGGCAGATCCGCCGTCAGACGAGGGGCCTTGTTGAGGGGCTCGAAGGTGTCGGAGAAGCGCGATGCGGCCGGACGCTTGGCAGTGCCAGCAACGGCCCCAGTGGCCGGAGGGTCAACCATCTCGGAGGCCAAAAAGCGATCCAGGTCCGCAAGCAGGTCGGGATACTCGGCGCGGCGATCTTCCAGATCCTGTGTCCGGCGGAGGAGATCCCGCTCGAGCTGAACGATGCCGGTGGAAAGGCGCAGATCGGAAGAGCACACGTAGTGCCAGCAACGGCCCCAGTGGCCGGAGGGTCAACCATCTCGGAGGCCAAAAAGCGATCCAGGTCCGCAAGCAGGTCGGGATACTCGGCGCGGCGATCTTCCAGATCCTGTGTCCGGCGGAGGAGATCCCGCTCGAGCTGAACGATGCCGGTGGAAAGGCGCTGGTTCTCCGCACGCAGGGCGGCCAGCTGCTCGCGCAGGGCCTGCTGCATGACGGCCGGGTCATCCTCACTGGAGGCCACCGAGGGGGAGGTGTCATCCGGCGAGCTGCTGGCCAGCAGCCGCTGCAGGTCGGCCGTATACTCGTCCCGATCTTCGGCCGCAGCCGAGCCCGGCCGCGATCCGGTGATTGACCCGCTGAAGGACCGCTGCCCGATGGAGGAGTTGAAAGACCGGGAGAGAGAATTCCGCCTGGAACCCGACTCGGCGCCGGATTCCGCAGGTGAGGCGGCCGCCTCGCGGCGTGCCTGCTGTGCGAGGTCTGCTCCGGAGGCACGGAGAGCCAGAAGCTCCTCATCCAACTGGGCCAGCTGGTCGCGCATGGTGCGGTCCTCCTGCTCCAGACGAAGCATGGTGTCGGAGAACTCGGCGCCGATCTTGCGAAGGCGGTCGCGTTGGGCTTGCAGATCCCCGAGGGCCGGGTTTTCGGCCTGCATGGCATCCACTTGCTGGGCAATGGCAGCCGTTTCGGTGGCGGCCACCTGTGAGGCCTGCTCCAGGTCCATGAGCATGGCGTTGAAGTGTTCCATCAGCACATTCCAGTAGGACTCCACCTTGGGATCATCTTGGGCCAGGGCGAAGCGAAAGGTTTCACACTCGAAGCGGAAGATCCACGGCCGCAAGCGCTCCTCGAGTTCGAACTCCAGGGCATCGATCGCCTATGCGGTATGTATGTGGGTGGGGGGGGGGGGGGCAGCATCAGCAAATGCCTCAGGCGGAAAGAGATCGACCGAGAGCAGGGGGGGAGAAAGAGGGGCACACCTTGATCAGCTCAATCATCCAAATGAGGAAAGCCAACATGGTGGGCCAGCCATGGTGGCTGCTGCTGGAAGCAATCTTCGATCGATTCAGCTCCTTTTGATAGCTGGAGATGGGGAAAAGAGCGAGGACGGGGGGGGGGGGGGATGGCAAGGGGTGAGTACAGGGAGGGAGGGAGAAAGAAGGGCAGCGGGGTGAAGAGGCGTCCTACCGCATTGCCTTGGCCAGCATGGCCACATCATCCTCGAACTTCTCGAAACGGAAGTTGGCGTCGATCCGGCTGAACATGTGCTCGAAGATTTCTTGGATGTCACGAAGGCTCGGACTGTTGAGGGACTTCTGGGTGATTGGCCGCTGGAAGGAGGCCCCGCTCTCGGTGAGGAACTGCCACAGTTGGCTGATGGAGTTGAGGACGAACTCCCGGTCGCGGTAATTGGGCCCGCCGCCACCGGCCCCGGACGGACCACCTCGGGTCCCGACATCGCCCATATGTACGCTGGCCGAGAATTGTGCCCGCGAGGAGCCCATGAAAGTGGCCTGGGAGCTGTGGGTGCGTGCGCGCGTGTGTGCGCATGATGCATGTTAAGAATTCGCCCATGGCGGGAGGAGGAGCACAGGAAGGAAGCAGGATGCCCAACGCACCGCGACATGGCGGATGCGGCCATCGGGTTATGCGCCTGTGGCGGGGGTGCCTGGGTGGCCAACTTCGGCGCGCGTCCTGAGAATGAGGACAGAGAAAACCCATGCTCCGGATCCAGGGTCACCGGGAGGATGGAGATGCGCCGGGACTCGAAGGACGTCGAGGAGGAGGAGGAGGAGGAGGAGGAGGAGGCGAGGGTGGTGGTGGCGGCGGCGGCGGTGTTTTGTCCTGAAGCCGATGGCGCCACAGTCGGAGGTAGAGGAGGAGGCCCGCCAGGAGCGGGGAAAGACCCAACCGCCGCGACCGGAGGCCCGGGCAGGAAGCTCATCCGCCGACCGATGGACGTCAGACCGATGGCCGTGTTGGCGCCGGCGAGAGCGGCCGCCATGGCTTGGTAGTCGCCGGAAGAGTCGCCCGAGGGGCGTCCACCCGACGGGCCGCCCGCCGGGGGATCGGGATTGAGGGATATACGACTGTGGGCGGCTTGACCGCCGGGGTCACCGCCGCCAAAGGGGAAGGAGAAACTCATGTGGTGGGCGGAAGGCAAGGGGCAGGGGGCGGGAGGGGGAAAGAGGGAGAGGAGGCGGAGGAGAGATGAGATCTTGGATGTCGCGAGGAGAGGCAGCCAGCAGCCGGGTGACCTTTGGGCCTTCGCTTCGAAGGGCGCGGCACACGATCGCGTCGACTCGGTACTGGGCTGAAGGCCGCGGATGCCGGGGAGACATGGGTGCCCTTCTGCGAAGGGGCGGGAGGGCGGCGCAGGGGGGACACGGACGGCACGGCAGATGTGATCGGGGAGACCGTGGGCAGTTGCCCACGTAGGTGCGGCTCGGTTTTTGAATATTAATAACGGCTGGGCGTGATGCTTCGATTCTCCACGGGATCCGGGCGAAAAATATAACGCTCTTTTGTGGCTTTTGACTAAGATGGCCATGGCCAAGGCGGGGCAGTTCAAAGCAAGTCGCCGGCCTCAGTTCTTCGAGTCAAGACGCAGTCGGCATGTTCGGGGGGATTCTCAGGAGGACAATGCGGGCGGTGGACCAGCGCCGCCAGGGCCGCCCTCCCGGGCGCGCGGAGCCGGGCGGGCGCACGCCAAAACAGGCCAAAGCATGATGGGGGCACATGGGAGAGGCGGGTCTCCGCCCTCCGGGGTCTTACTCCGGTGCGGTATGCTGGAAACGTGTGCGGAAGATTGGCGGTGTCTTTGGCAAAGACTTCGCGGCTCCGGCCGGCGGGGTGGTCGCCGCTCGGCGACAGGCGGAGCCAAGGTGCGGCGGGGACGGAGGGGGGAACCACTCGCTCAGGCTTGGCCATGCAGTGCTTTGCAGGCCGGCACGAGGGGACGAAGGAGCACAAGGCGTGGTAACCTGGCCAAGACCGGAGGCAAGAGCGGCGGGACGCCCCGCGCGGGGCGGCATCAATACGCCGGATCCCGGGACGCGGTGCCTAGTGATCGGGAAATGACGCAGCAGGCCGGGCGCGCAAATTGCGAGGATTTATTGCCCGGCGCAGGTGGGGGGAGGCAGAGGGCCTTGCGCACCAATGTCCGCGCTTGGTGGCGTACTGAGACCTTGTCCTGGCGGGATGGTCCGACACGCGGACGAGGCGAGGGCGGGCGGGGCCATGCGGCGAGCGGGGGGAGCCTGCGCCGGGCGGGACGGCGATGAGTGTGGGACATTCCTGGCCCGGGTATTTACCCTTGGGCCGCTGGCCTCGACGTGCCGCGCAGGCGGGGGGCGCCTTGGAGAATGCCGGCTTGTAGTCCGAGGCGGAGAGCGCGCACCCGAGTCGGCCGATCGCTCCCTCGCCCGGGTGGCCTGCCCGCTCCCTCGCCGGCCTGGCACGGGGGCGGAGGGGGTGCGAGGACAAAGGCTGGTCCCCTCGGCCGGCCACCAGGACCGCGTGTTCCTTTGCGCAGGTAGGCCGGGATTCGGAGCACGGGCCGCGCCACGACAGGGTTATGGTTAGCGGCGCGATCGGGCTCTTCTCTGGAAGGCGCCGTAGCCGCCGCGGAGACACCCGCAGGGAACCTTGACCCCCCCCCCCCCCGAGAAGCAAGAGACCTAGACTGGGGTGTTCCGTGTGGGCGCTCGGACACCCGGGGCCCTCAAGCAGCCTAGTCCCAGAGACCCGGCGCAAGTCCCGCCGTGGGATCGCCGTCCGGGGGGCGGGTGGCCTCATGGTACACCGACAAGCGCGCGTGGGCGCGTGGCGGTGGCCAGGGAGCCCGCATACGTCCCCCCCCCCCCCCCCCGACCTGCGGGTGGCGCATTCCGGGCTCGCTCGCGCAATTGTTACGATGGCCGGGCTACTCTCGCGGAGGATGTGCCTCGCAGGACAGGGCGGGAAAGCCGAGGAATGGGACAGTGCATTGCTGCCGGGCCTTGTCCGGGGGGGGGGGGAATACGCCCGCCACCGATGTTGCCACCTCGAGGGGGCACGGGTGCTCGGGCACGCGGAAAAGGTCGCCGAACCAAGAGGCAAAGGGCCCACAGGTAGGGGGCGGATCCGGCGGGGACGGTGTGAAACAGCGCGTCGACGCGGGGGAGCGAGCGAGGTCCTCCCAAGGTTGCAAAGCCACCCCGGCGGCCCCGCCGAAGGAGAGAAAGGCCCAAGTGAGGTGGCCCTGGAAGCGGGCGTTAGCTTGGCGCGCGCACGCGCGCGCACGCCGGCGGGCATGGAGAGGCCAGGGCGCGCGCCGAGGCCTTTCCCATGAACTCTGTCAGGGGTACATCGCTTTCAGCCTGCGGGGGCGCTATTGCGCCCGGCGGTGGTGAAGACAACTCCGCTTTGGATGCACTAGCCGGCGCGAGGCCCGAGCATCCAACATCGCAGCCGGCGGCCATTCTTCTCTTGTGAGACCCTGATATCGGTGCCCCCCCCCCCCCCCCCCGCTTCGGCGTGAAGAGGAAACAGGCGAGCCAGTGGCCGGGGGCGCGGCGGTCCGGATGGAGCCCAGGCGAGGTCTCTCGGTCGGCGCGCGAGCTCCCCCGCCGGCGGGCCCTCGTGGTCGTGCCCGTTGGAGGCGCCCGCGCGAGTTGAGCGCTCCCCGTGCTGTTCCCCGGGGGGGGGGGGGGGGCGGTCTCGCCCCGAACCCCGAAGCATGAAAACTGCCTCGCGGCCAGGACGCGGGGGAGCACGCGTGCCCTGAGCTCCGAAAAAAAAAAAAGGCCCGGGCCTGGAGTGTCCCGAGAGCCCGGGGGCGGGGGGCGGCTCACCAGGGCATGCCCGAACACGGGGCAGGGGAAGGCCTCTCCACTGAGCCGCGCCGGCGCACTTGGCGCGCACGGGCACCCGCCCTCTCGCCCTCGGAACGCCAGACTCGAGGCGGCGGCTGTGAGACGGCGGGCAAGGAAACGCGGCTGGGACCGCACGCGGGCGCGCTCCCCGAGAGTCAGAGGACTCCGGCGCACGCGGGGCCGCGCTCGCTCTCCGGCTACCTATGCCAGTCAAAGGGACGTACGGGAGGGGAAGAAGGGGCGCGCGCCAACGGGCGACCCCTGTGTGCTCGCCCGAGGAGCCACGCCGGCGGATCACACAGGCCATTCCCACCGACGGGCGTGTGTGCCGGCGCCTCGCAAAGGACCGCAGCGCGTTCGGGGTGGGGGGGGGGTTGGGGAGGTCGACCCAGCGGCCGCACAAGGACGCCCTCCCCCCCCCCCCCCGCCTGGAGCGCCCGCCTTGGCACGCCGCGGCGCGCGTGGCCGGTCCGCGGCGAGCGCGGCCCTTGCGCATCCCCCCCCTCGCGGGCGTCGTCGTGTCGCCGGTCGGTCTTTTCGGGCGAGCGGGGAGGCGGGCGGGTGGCCGTCAATCACGCAGTCAGCCTCGACGATGTCTCCATCCACCGCCGCCCTGGCGAGACCGCGAGGAAGGCGACGCGCGCGTGCACCGGTTCCGGTCGGGGGTGAGGGTCCCCCCCCCCCTTGGGGAATTTCACCGCACCGGCTGCGAGCGGCACCCGCACGTTGGGCCAAGAATTCACCCAGCAGCCACGGCCGAGACTGAGGGGACCCCCTGCAAGGGCCGATGGGCGGGAAACCGGCGGGTTGGCGGGGGCCGAGGGCGGGAGAATGCCGCCCACCGTCAGGGCGTGTTTGCCCGAGTGCCGGTTGGCTGTGGGCTGCTGTCTCGCCACCTTCCGGCAAGGCACCGATCTCGCCCGAGCGGAGATTTCCCGCGCATAAACTATGCCCAACAGAATATCCACCCACCACGACAAAGCCTGCGTGGCTGCTGCCCCGTCCGGCGGACCAGCGTGCAATGCGGGCCATTCCCCCCGCAGTCCTGCCTGCGTCCTGGCCGTGAGGCGAGATCGGATCGGGGCCGCGCGTTCATTAACATCCTCGGGCGTGGGTGTTCGCCCGGGCGGGTCGCCCGGGTTTCGTGGAGGGCCGGTGCCGGCCCCCCTGCGTCTGCTCGGGTGGTCGCGGAGTGGGCACCGGACCCGTACCGGCACCGAGGGAGGGGGCCGACCGGGGGGGGGGAGGGGGGGCGGGGGGATGCCTGTGTGCCGGTGCCCGCGGCAGACACGAGTCGGGAGGTGCGTGGCTCCGGCGGCCTCGCATGCCCGCTCCTCGGCCAGGGCCTGGCCCGGGGAGGGGGGGGAGGACGACCCGGGGGGGGGGGCGGTGCGCGGCCGTTACGTGTGCG